CCCGCACCCTCCCTCCCCCAAGTGCCCTCACTGCCGCCCCCACACCGCCCCATCGTCCACGTGCTCCCCGTACCAGGACAAACCTTGGATTTTATTCTTAAATATTTTTTTAATTGTAAGATCGAGGCAAAGTCACTTAGCCTGTTTTACTTGTTTCACGCATACATGCACATACATGCAATATAACACATTACATATGGGACATATATTTTGCATGAGAATCCAGTGATATTGGTTAATACCTCGAAAAGAACACAAAGAGTAATCCATTTACGCATCAAATGCTGGACCACGCAAGTGAACTGTTTTTGTGTGGAAATAAACTAAGTACTCTGATTTTAGATGGAATTTTTACACATTTGATGAAGTTTACACTATGTGTGGTTACATATCAACCTCATTAGTATAAATTCTTGTATTTTATCAGCAGTATGAACATTCTTAACTCCATACCTACATTCTGAATTACTGGAGAAGTATTTTTATTTATTTATTTATTTTAATACAAAATACTGGAGAAGTATTCTGCAGTGCCTGGCTTTTCGCTGCTGGGTCTCCATGGAGACGGGGCTGACAGATACTGATCCGGTTAGTTTAATCACGTGTTGGAGTGCCCGTGCAGCCAGTTCTGCTCTTCTGCGACATTGTGTTTGCGTATAGTAGCTTAACTGAAGTGTTGATCCAAAGTAACCTACATTTTCTAGTCATTTATATAACTGGGCATTTTGCTGGAGCAGTTCAGGTTAAACACCTTTCTAAAAGGCTCTACAAAAAGTCTCTTCATTATGGCTTCAACTGGCTGCCTTCAAATAATCTGAACTTGTTCTTAACCACTATGCCCCCTGTTGAACTAGAATCTGTGCTCCACTTTCAGAATGAATGATTAAGTGTAATGGATCACATCTAAATCACTGGTGCACTCAGTGCAAGAGAGCTGTTGGTCATCCTTTTTTTTTTTTTTTTTTTTTTTTGCTTTCTGTCGCAATAAACTTGCTAATTTCTGAAGTTCAATTAGGACGTAAAAGGTAATGACCTACGTATTGTGAACGCTGCAATTCCTTTTACAAGTTACAGATAAATAAAAGATTATTTTTACAAAATGACTTTAATTTACTTTAATTTTGTTACCCTCGAAAGATAACAATTCGACATTTAGGATCCGAATTGCCTGGGGAAATAAGCTCTTCCTCGAGCTTTCTGTGCTGGTCTACGGGCAGCAGTAGTTTTTGCCTGTTGGCTAATGGGAGTTTTACTTACACAAGAATATTCTGAGGCCAGAAGGAAAAATGATTTGGCCATGGAGATAGCCAATCAGATTGGAGAAGAGGTGGGTCCAAGTAACTAGAGGAGGCGGGACCCACCTCCTCTACAATCTGATTGGTTATCTGTGTGTACTGTTCCTGAACCAGGCAATGATGCTCCCTGTCAGGATGCTTTAGAGGTGATAGTGTAGATATTCTTTAGTACTGGGAGAGGCATCTTGAGGTCCCTGAGACACCTAAGATGGTTCTGGAGTTGGTGGGCCTTCCTCACTAAGACATCAGCATACAGGGACCAAGTCAGATCCTCAGTTACCTGAACACCGAGGTACCTGAGAATGTCCCCCTTCCCCCTTGAATTACTGAACATAATTTCATCTGGCATTCAATCATTATGCTAAAGTCTAAATAAAAGTTTACATGTTACTGTACTTAGCCTCCTTACCAGCACAAACTAACCTCTAGCATAACAGAGTTGTTACAACCAGAATTTAGTCATTCCTAATGAATTAAAATTTTCATGTAAAAATACCAAACGCATGGTAGTCACCAGGGACAGGATTGTGAGCCACTGGTTGGCATGGCAACTCAGTAGGAAACACTGTCCCTCACGCCTCCAAGGTAGGGAGTTTCCATCCTGCCTCTGCTGTCTGTGTGTAGAGGTTGCATGTTCTCCCCATGCTTTGCAGGGTTCCCCTTGCAGTCCAACGATGACAGACTGGCAGCCCATCTAGTCTGTACCCCAGCCTTGGGCCCTGTGCTGCTTGGCACGGGCTCCAGACCTGCCTATGACCTTGACTACAGTGGGAAGTTGGATGTGTTTAGATTAACCTTGCGGTTCACCCAGTTCAGAATTCAGGGGATTAATGCAATGATACTTTCTGTTCAACCATCAATTTCAATTTATTAATTTAGTGTTGGGACATGCAGACCCTGGGGCAGGAGTTAGGTGTGGCCATGTTATTGACATTGTTCAGCTTTACAGAAGCCACCTGCTTCTGTTGCGTATCTGCCAGTAATACCATCTGCTTCATAGACTGATGTCTCCTATATGGACAACTCTGTGCCAGGTGCACCTTTCCAGTCTCTTCACACTGTATGCAGATTTCCTGTCCTTCTTTCATTTCCACGTGAGCTCAATGTTAATTAAAGTAATCGTCAAGGTCTGATATATCATGACGTCTCTATTTTTTGTCAGTATATTAGGTGGGATGTCAGTGCATTGCAGGGAGCATACATACTATCACAATCGTACGCTCTTGGACATTTTGAAATGACAGTTAGCCTAACTGCATGTGTAAGTATGTTTCTAAATATTTAGTCATCGTCCGGAGAATATATTTCAGTTTTTATTAACGCGAATCCATAGCTAAAAATGCGGCATAAACAAGGCTAAATAACTTAAAAGTGCGACTACAACCAGACATGGAACGACCTGGTCAAGATTAAATAAATATATATATTTTTAAATCACAACAAGGAAATAAATAAAATGATTAATTGTACGTCTCAAATAACAGTAAAAATATCTGTCTAGAAACTTTGTGAATTTCACATTAATGAATAAAAGTAAATAAAAAATATAGGAAGCTGTATTATCTCGGTAAATACTTTAATCCTAGTCAGAAGGTAGAATAGTGCACATGCCTTATATGAAGAGTACTAACATGAAAGTTAGGAGTGTTCACAGCAGGAGTGTTTTACCCTTGAGCAGGGTATCAACGTCGTTTTACTGTAATAGTACGTTAATCTGTAAATCACCGTATGCTTACGTTCTAAAGCAATTAAAGAAAAAGGGATCCGCCGGGATGGGCAGTCACGTGCCCGGTTGCTAGGAGGAGGACATGAGCAGTAGTCATTGCTGACGTCATCGGCGTTCACCACCTGACTAGTAGAAACAATATCCACAAAAACCAAAACCGTCTCACCATGAGCCGGATTACGGCTGAACGACCGGAATACAGGGCTGGTGTGCGCTACGACGACTAACAGATACCGCGTTGAAATAGATACGGTATCCCGTGGGGTTTTTAAAACCCATTTGTCAGCTTTGGATTTAGTAACGTATCGCTAACTTCCCCGTTTGAGCGATACCGGAAAGGCCTGCCGCGTCGTCATCCCCGGACTAAAGTAGCGAGGCCAGACCGAGAACCTCTGCTCTCAGCAAGGTACGTGTGGGTGTACACCTCCGCCCGAACTACACCTTAACTCGTAACCATGATTAGTATGCCGTTGTACAACGTTTTGTTTTTTTATACATGAATGTCTCAGGAGTCGGTTTTGTGATTCAACTGTAATATATTGTCGTTGAGACATTATTCAGTTCCTGGTAGTTCGGCTGATTCAGCTCCATATAGCTTATCGGTTAGTGTTCTTTCAGTGTCGTTTTTGGACGAAGTAAACTCAGTGATAATATGTCAGACAATCTGCAAATTCTGAATTGATTCAGTAAAGTTAGGTGGGCGAGTATGGGCCGCAGAAGAGTCAGAACCAGCGCTTCAGAAATAACCACTGTGTGTTAATTCCATCGACTCACTGCTTGACTGTCAGCTGCCCACCTATAATAATAATAAAGAATGACAGGCGAACTGGGTACTTTCTGAGACTTAACCGTGGAAGGACTTTGAGATGAAATCTCAGTTAAACTGAACATAAGCGAACATAGTATAGGTGATAAAATGTGTAATTCTTGTACTATTGATCTGTTTTTCATAAGTTATGCTTGACGACTAAGTAGGCTTTTTAGTAAGTTAAGTAAATAAACCAAATTTTTAAAATACTTGAAACTTGCTAGACAATGCATTTGTGTATGCTTATTTTGTTGGAGTTGAACAGATTGTGTTGACATTTTCTCAAGTTTGCGGTTGTATCCAGAGGTGATTTCTCCATGTTCTTTATTTCCAACATCATTAAGTGGACAGTCCCTACTGACTGTCCAACATCACGATAGTCCTTGTAAACAATACAGCTCCCATGAATGTATTATGTATGTTTGCACTCAGTCATGCTTTCACACTTTTGTCTGAAGCAGGTTATCGTTTTGTTTGTTTTGGTCCCCAGTTCCGGTCAATGGTCCGATCGGCCGAGGATGCTCACGGACCTCACGCCGGCCACCGCACGCCTCTTTGCTTCCTCACCTGCCTCCCGCAGCCATGACCATGACTGACCTTTCCGACCGCCCAAAGACTACCCCCGCTATCGCCCCAATGATATGATCGTAGCCGCCTGGATCGCATTCTGTGCCAGCAGGAGCCTCGTTTGCGGTCTGCGGCTCGCCCTAGAGCAGCTTCTCCTCCTCCGGTTCTGGGAGAGCGCGGAGGCGACGCCTGGGACCATGGGCAATAGCTGCGTGTGCCGGGAGGACAGCGACGTGGAGGACGGCTCCGTGCCGCGCGGACACCTCCGGCGCGTGGACCATGCTTCTGCCGAGCCGGCAGAGACCCGAGGCAGCAGACCGCGAGACCCAGTCCGGCCACCGCGGCGCGGCCGAGGCCCCCATGAACCCAGGAGGAAGAAACAGAACGTGGACGGGCTGGTGCTGGATACGCTGGCCGTCATCCGGACACTAGTCGACAAGTAAGCGGCTGTTTCAGTGGTCCTGTCGGCTGCTATAAGCAGATAGCGCTTAATTTAACAGTGATAGTGATTTATTCACGTGCTTTGTCACCGCCTGTACTCATTGCTCCCCAGCGGTACAGTCAGCCCCTCCATGCACCATGTGCTGCGTGCTCCGGCATGCACGCATTTCTGACTTGCGCGCACTCAGCATGCTTCCCCCTGTTCCGTTTTGCCTCCCGCACTCTGCCGGCATCAACGCTAGAGGCCAAGCTGTCGATGTTGGCGAATGGCTCCCTGCTTCAGGTGGGGGGTGGGGGGGGAAGCAGCTTCTTGCCGTTTGGCGGATTGACATATTCCCTATTGCACGCGGGCAGCTGTGAGTTGCTGTACCGGTGGGCTAAGTTGCGCTGGGCAGCTTCTGCCCGCATTGTCCTCTCTTGTGCCCTTCCGCGAGGGGCCCAGCCGCCGGGAATGTGGACTGGGGGAGCCTCTGTCCTTTTCCAGGGACACCCGCCAAGTGACAGTGCCACCTGTCTTGTGTCAGCGGGGTGGTGACTGAGCTGACTTATAAGAGGAGCGTAACGGCAGCCTCGCGGACACGCGAGGGCCCCATGAGGGATTTGCCTCCATTCCTGTTTTGCGGATCATGCCATGGTTTGACGCTGACGCGTCTACGTCCTGTAAACAGCATTCCAGTCGGCACGCTGCTCCCCACCACGCCGCGTCTGACACCTCCCTCTCGGCAGCTCGTTGCTGGCTTTGCATACAGGGGCCAACATGCTTTCCTAGGGAAGAGCAGTGTGTTGTTACCGCAACCCCCCCCCCCCCCCAAAGGTGCTTAGCTCAGGGAGACACTGAACGGAAACTTCCAGCTGACTCTTTGAATTTTTAAACAAGAGTAGCCTCTTTTATTCATTTAACCTCGCAGCTAATTTATTTATTCTCTCTCGGTCAGCTGCTGTGGTGATATCTATTTTTTGTTTTCTTTCCCTTCTTCTTTTTTCCCTTTCCTCCTTCCCTCTCGGCTCTCGGCCCCCTCCCTGTATCCGCTCCGACTCCTCAGTCTCACGCATGTCCATCCAGCTGTGTACACGTCACTCACAGGCACCAAATAATATCCATGCGACACTCACACCCACTCACACCAGTGGCCGGAATGCGGTGCTGTGGCCGTGTGACACACTCTCACCCCGCAGCCTTTCCTTCATTTTGCCCCTAATGTATGATGGTTACTCGAGTCACAATCCTGATCTTCATTATTTTGGCCTTGGACAGCTGATCTGGCATGATTGGTTTTATTGGAAAGAAGAAATGTCAAAGCAGAAGTAATATGACAGGGAGCCCCATAGAGACTTGCTGTCAGCCCCACCCGTCCATCACTGGGCCCCCCCCTCGGTCATTATAACTGGTGCCTGCTGCCAGATGATATCCTCGTTTAGCATTTTTTCTGTTTTTCTCTTTCAGTGACCAAGAACCTCCATATTCCATGATCACACTGCATGAGATGGCGGAGACGGGTAAGCAGCCTGCACTGCTGATCACTTAGGCAGGGTCACTGTCACACTCGGAAGGTACCGGAAAGCCGTCAGCCGCTTCTCACTGCTTCGGTGGCTGCCCGGTGGCGCTTGGGTCAGCAGAAAGTAATGTGCAGTCAGTTTCACCGCAGTGTCCGCGTGGTGACTACGTGGCACAAACAGCGGCGCACTGGAGTTCCTCACTTCTGCGCTTCTGGCTGAGATCTCATGATGCGATGCTGCTGATGTCAGCGTGGCCCTTTGGCCGCGGCGCCTGCCTGTCATCCGTCCCGTTCAGGAGACGCGGTACCACTGACATGACCGCACGCGTCCCCCTTCGGCGTGGCATCTGATCCCTTTAGGGACGCTGGCCTCTCTCTCTCTCTCTCTCTCTCTCTCTCAGTTGCTTGTTCAGCGTTCTGTCCCTCCCCTAGGTGGGAGGAGGTGAGATCTGGTCCTGGATTCAGTTCCACCTAGACAGCGGGCTGTGAATTGAACAGCTGGCACATGCTACTGTGTTATGTTTCTCAGCATGAATTCTGGGATATTTGATTTTTGAATTTTCATTTCTTAAAAATCATCTTTTGGTATATTAAATTTTAAGAGAGAAATGATGCATTAATGGCACTGTACCTGGTGTAAGGCACGTTTTATAATGCCTCTCTCACTCCTGTTGCTCCTGTGTCTCCTCCCCCTGCTTGCTTGGCTCCAGATGACGGCTGGCTGGAGGTGGTCCAGTCCCTGATCCGGGTGATTCCCCTGGACGACCCACTGGGCCCGGCTGTGATCACCCTGCTGCTGGACGAGTGCCCGCTCCCCACCAAAGTGAGCATCCCTCCTCACCACCTGTGCACCCTTCCTCTGCTTTCGGCAGGCGCGCTACAGCGACGCCCGTCGTGACTCTCTCCTCCCTCCACCAGGACGCGCTGCAGAAGCTGTCGGACATGTTGAACCTGAGCGCTGCAGCGGCCCGCCAAGACGCCCTCATCCCAGCCAAGCACCGCAACACCACGGCCGTGCTGGGCTGCCTGGCTGAAAAGATGGCAGGTGTGGCACTGGGGCACGTCACTCCCCTGATCGGTGCAAATTTATACGGTCATACTTCCATTGAAGTCAACCTATGGTTATCAGTAGTCATGTTTACCGTCATGTGGTTTTTGCAGTGTGTTTTGCACAGAGATGTAGGAGGACTAGCAGAAGGTAGCAAGTGGGGTCTCATGTTCCAGTGACTCCCCACTGGATCCCTGATCTATTGCTTTTTCAGGCCCAGCCAGCATCGGCCTCCTCAGCCCCGGTACCCTAGAGTACCTACTGGAGAGTCTGGTAAGGAGCCGCCTTCTGACATCGTGCAGCTACGTCTGACTCTGAGCTTCGTATCTCACCGGTGCTTCTGCCCCTTTTCTTCTGCCCCCAGAGCTCTGAGGCACACCCAACGGTCATGCTGTTTGCCCTCATTGCACTGGAGAAGTTTTCACAGACAAGTACGTGTCTCTCTCCGGAGAGTATTTGAAAATCCCGACATTGCACATGAAAGCCGTCTTTTCTGTAGATAAGAATGTTTGTGTCATTGGAGGACTCGTGCCCTGCGGCGGTAGCCGTAACGCCCCCAGGGCTGTGGTTGACGCGGGGGGGGTGCTCATGCGTCTCGTCTCCTCTCCTCAGGTGAGAATAAGCTGACCGTCTCGGAGTCATGCATCAGTGATCGGCTCGCTGTCCTGGAGACCTGGGCCAACCATCCGGACTACCTGAAGCGGCAGGTCGGGTTCTGTTCCCAGTGGAGCCTAGACAACTTGTGTGAGTATCTGAGGGCTGTCAGCGAGTGGAACCTCTCTGCCCTTTAAAACAAACAGTATCGGCTCATTTTACTTTAGCCTATTTACCTTATGTGACTCATAATGACTAGAAAACTATTGAAGGTGTGTTTGACAACAAACAATGAGTCGACTGGTTTGCCGTTAGTGATGGTTTAGGCAGTGTATGAGCATTTGAGGTGCTGGTGCAGTGCATTGTGGGTAGTCAGTAGTCAGTCAACTACTTCTAAGCAACACTGCGGTCTCACCTACAGTCCTGAAGGATGCCCGTCAGCTGACATACGAGAAGGTCAATCTTCAGAACATCAACGCCATGTTGAACAGCAATGACGTCAGCGAATATCTGAAAATCTCCCCCACTGGTCTTGAGGTCAGCTTCCATTCAACCTTGTTGTGGGGGAAGATCTTGTGTTTAGGAATGTTATTGGGTATTGAAAATGTGTAATTAATGAAGTTTGAATCTGTTCTTTCATGGTTTTTCCATCATCTCTGTACATTTCCTGTTAAAAATTGAATCTACATACATTCAGAAATGTCCAAATATACATTTCGTTTTAAAGACTGGACAAGCAGCAATATTCAGTTTGAGTTGGACTACCCTACTTGTGCTAGAAACCATGAATGGATGCTTCTAATCCAATATACCAAAATACAAATGTGCACAAAGACTGCAAAACTGAATTCTCCACTGAGAAAATTTAACTTGGAAACACTGAATTTCATTGGTAATAAGGTTGAGATTCTCCCTCATATGTCTGTTCATTATATCGGTCATGGGGCCTGGTTCTCTACATCTCTGTGCCCCGCCCTTCTCCCGCGTACCCAGGCCCGCTGCGACGCCTCCTCCTTTGAGAGTGTCCGCTGCACATTCTGCGTGGACTCGGGGGTGTGGTACTACGAGGTCACCGTCATCACGTCTGGGGTCATGCAGATCGGCTGGGCCACCAAGGACAGCAAGTTTCTGAACCACGTACGTGACGCCAGAGCTGCTGCCGCCGCGTGCCGATGTCCCGCTGTGCTAATGGCTAAAGACGCAGCTCCATGTTTCTGTTCGCAGGAGGGCTATGGGATCGGGGATGACGAGTACTCCTGTGCGTATGATGGCTGCAGGCAGCTAATCTGGTACAATGCCCGCAGCAAGCCGCACTCGCACCCGTGCTGGAAGGAAGGTGAGCCTGACACCTGCTCGCCCCCCCTCACCTGAGCTGGGCGGCTTCTGGGTGCCCAGATACTTACCTCAGGTGTGACTCGCCTTATAAATGCGCCGCTCTTTCCCTGCAGGGGACGCTGTTGGCTTCTTGCTGGATCTCAGCAAAAAGCAGATGGTCTTCTATCTGAATGGACACCAGCTCCCTCCCGAAAAGCAGGTCTTCTCCTCGGCCACGTGAGTCCCCTCCGGCCGCCACATCCTAGGGCTTTGCTTGATTTACTGCTCCATGTCTTATTTTGGTGTCGTCATGTGACTAACATTCATTGTTCAGAGAGAGAGACACCTAGACACACCCCAGCCCTCATTATTGCCAGACTTGCCTTAAAATCATTCTAGAATGTTCTCCTTAATAGAAATGAAAACCCGTATTGTCTCGCTAATAGACAGCACTCCACCAGTTATCGCTGCATGGATCCTGACATTGAATTTCTTTAGCCGAACTCGGTTGTTTGGTGAGGATTTCAGTCTCTCTGTCCTGAATGTGACATTTCTGCTGGCTGAAATAAGCCTTGCGCTCTGTCTCCCCACACAGGTCAGGCTTCTTCGCCGCGGCCAGCTTCATGTCGTACCAGCAATGCGAGTTCAACTTCGGGGCCAAACCGTTCCGGCACACGCCACCCGTGAAGTTTAGCACGTTCAACGACTTTGCTTCGCTGGCGTCCGACGAGAAGATCATCTTGCCCAGGTGAGCTGCGTGGCCGGTGGCCGTACCAGGGTGACGCGGGCTTAACGTCATCTCAAAGGGCGCACTGCGGACATCCCTAACTGGGCTCCTTTCTGACACGTTTACACCCTTCAGCAGCCAGTCTGCTGATGATAATGACAGTAATTAAAGATAATGATGAGCACCGTTTTGGGGGAGATGACAAAGACATTGCTTAATTAAGAAGCATTTAAAGTCAGGATGTTACATAATGGTAATGACAGCGATCGTCATGGGGAAATGAATGAATGCATTTATGTAATTGTAATTAATGAAAGACGTACATGTTGAGTTCAACTGCATTGAACACCTTGAGTGCTGTAAAAATAGCCTCAACCTGCAAGATGTCGCGCATTCCGTACCGCATTAAAAAAACTGCATCATCGTGCATTTAAAGCCTACTGCAGGATGCGCCTTTTACTTCCCGTCTATACACACACTGTGAATGTCTCTCCCTGTCCCAGACACCGGCGTCTAGCCCTGCTAAAGCAGGTCAGCATCAGAGACAACTGCTGCACGCTCTGCTGTGACCAGCTTGCCGACACTGAACTGCGTCCCTGCGGACACGGGTAGGCCTGGGGCCTGCGCTTTGGGATGCAGGCTTGTGTGGGTCTTTCCTGTAAACGTCAGGGGGAAAAAATACCGTAACCACACAGTGCAGCTTGTGTGCATTTGTGTGTGCTTGTTAGCATGTGGTAGCTGCAGGTTTTGCTTGCTGCCTGATTGGTGGCCCACTTTGTCTATGGGTGTTTTTTTGTGTTTTTAAACCTGTTTGTTTATTTACTCGTCCTTTCCCCTCCTCCCCCTGACAGCGGGATGTGCATGGAGTGTGCCTTACAACTGGACACCTGCCCCCTGTGCCGTCACGACATACAGAGTCGCGTCAGACTGATCTCCCACGTCTCCTGACCTTGGTGCTGCCACCTCTGTGCCAGGGCAGGGAGGCCCGGACCCCCGTTCGCCCGACAGGGCCCAGGACAGTGATGCTTCTTGGGGGGTCTCTGTCCTAGAGGCCGCGGGGAGAACCCAGGGGGGCTCGCAGGTTTACGAGAGGAGACCGGGGACGACCTTTCATGGTGGAGCGCTCCACGGAACAGCTCTCGTGGTGAGAGGCTCATATCTGCCTCCTGCCAGCAGTGACCAGAAGGTTCCAGAGACCAAGCGGCTTCCTCTAAATTGCCACGAGCCGCGTGACCCTCTGTTAACATGTCCAACGTGCAGTACACAGCTTTGTCTGCTCATTCTCTGCCTAGACTCTGATCTCTGTCTGCACATCTGTTTCCAGCTGTTCAATGTATCAGTGTTTAGTTTTTCTCATTCCACTCAAACAGGCACACACAGTCGATGGTGATACCCACCTCCTGTTTTGGGGGGGGGGGGGGCATGTAATGTCAAATTGAATTGTTCCCTCTTGCCTCTTTTGCATCCTACTTGAAGCAGTTTTGCAGTGATTCATACCATGGCGCAAATTTTTTTGATGAGGAAAAAATAGACATATACTGACATGATATTTTATTTATGTGTGATTAAACTGCCATTTAGTAATTAAAACTTGAAGTAAAAATTCTCACCCAATGTGATGACCAGTGACATTGAATTAGTCTACGTCTTTCTGTATGTATGTGTGTGTGTATATATATATATATATATATATATATATTACATTACATATACACACATACATCTGAAGAACTGCAGATTCAGCTGCTGTAGGTTGTTCCTTTAAGGAGATTATTGCCCTCACCATCTCTCTGCTAATTACCTATGGCACAGATAAGGGTTTCAATGACTTGAATTAAGAAAGAGCAAAGTGTTCATTTATGGATTGTGATGTTTGCATAGAAATGTTTGTTAATGTGTTGAAAAGTAGTTTTGAGGGTTTATGGTATTTTTTTGATATACTATGAGAATATTTCTGGCATCTGTTTACTCTGTTGGTCCATTACCCCCTTCTGGTAGGGTCATTTATAGCCTGAATTAAAAGAATCAACATTTTGTAACAAAAGTACTTGTCATTTTAATGTGTAAACCAACAATTTCTGAGGATTGTGCTGTTGTATGTGTGTTTTTATGTGAGCGGCTGGGCACCGTTTTTGAGCTGCACGGGCACTTGCCTACATCAGCTGAAGTTTTGGAAGAAGGCAGGCCGATTGATTAGTCAAAGAAACGTCGGATTTATTCTTTGCAGTATAAGTACTCGACTAAAGAACGGGACTACTTGAGTTTTGGAAAGGTATGTAGTCGCCCAGTTAAGATTTGAGCTACTATCACCGTAGCGCTTCATATATTTACAATATTTGTTTGCCTTGCTTTAGCAGGTTCACTAGTGGTAATATTAACCAGGCGGTTCTCCGGTTTTTTGCTGTGCTAAAACTGTTCTTGTAAAAAAAAAAAAAAAAAAAGTCAATGCGTTACGCGTACGATTTACAAACAGAATATCTATTTTGTTCATGGCGTTTTCCGTTTTTATTTTCAATTTCTATTCATATGCATCAGAGGATAAATCTGATACATGCCGACGCCGTTCATAAGCACAAGATGCTTTAAAAATCTGTGGCAGGAATAACCAAGGGTCAAATTGCTTATGTCTGCGTGCAATGGAAAAACGAATCGCAACGGATAGTTGCTTATTTAAGCCATATAAATGTTTTTTTTATACAAAATGTTATTTACATTTCTCAGTTTATGTCTTATTTTTTCATGGTTCTTTTATTCAATGCCGTCACTTAAGGCTTGAATCTCGCATACAAGCAAAGCGGAACCAAAGTTGAATCATGTTTCGAGTCGAACGCTGTTGTGAAACGGACGCGTGTTGCCGTTGCTGTGGAGTCGTTTATATGAAAAGCTAGTTGGCAGCAAGTGGTTGCAAGACAATGACAACGAAAGAGAGAAGTAAGACTGTAATTAATTTTCCAATTATCGATTCTTTTTGAGACTGTGATGGAAATGGAACATTTTGTAGCCTGAGACGTCCAGGAAATGAACCAGTTCTTTAGTGTTGTATGTAGCTGGTTAATGAATATTAGCCAGTTTGCCTACCTACTTAATACTAAACACGCTTACGTGATGTGTGGGAAAATACTGAACGTTTTATTGCATGGCGTACCCGTGTTTTTCATGGTAAAAAAAACACAATTCATAGTCTGGATTAGAAAACGAAATATCGCGTCTGCCCAGTTAGCTAAATAATGTGTGTTATGTGCTCTGTCGTAACTAAATAATTTATTTTTACCAGCCGACAATCCGCTAATACGAATTAGGTAGCTAGGGATGCTTGACCTGTGATGTATTTTAAGGACTTTTATGTCTGCTCATTCTGTGATTTGCTTCCTCGTTTCATTGAAAGCTCTGCTGGGCGATGGTGACTTGGTTGAGATGGAGGATTTGGACGCAGAAGATTTTGCATTATCCAAGTAAGCGTGCATCGTCTTTGTAAATAACGTGGAATTACGCCGAAGTACTCAGGAGCAGGAGTGTCGCTGGAGATTTATGGAATAGGTGGCTATGCCTTTACTAAGGGCGGTCTGATTTTAACGAAACAATACGAGTACACACTATGTTAACTAAACACTGTACGTTTATTTGTGGGAGGGGGGCTCAAGTGACCCCTAAAACAGCCATAGCGACGCGCCAGCTCAAAAGTTACGAATCTAGTCAATTAAAAAAGCCATCAACGTTTCGCTTATGTAAAATGTTATTGGCAAAATTTGTAATTCTAAGTATTCTTATTTTTGCCTGTAAGTTACCGCCTTTTCTGTTTAAAAACGGGACAGAATCTCACTTCACTATCCCTGCTACATCTCTGGCTCCTTTTGTGTGTCTCCCGCCCCAGCTCCTCCGATGCAGACGCCGCGTTTGACGCTGTCATCGGGAACATTGAGGACATTATCATGGGTGAGGGGGACCCAGGCTTTCGTATACCTACCCCATATCTCCCTGATTACTATATCAATGGGAATGGAGTGGGAGTGGTATTTAGGTAGCTGTAAGGCGAGAGGCTCGCGGACTGCAGGTTGACTTTGCGGTTTGGTTCCACAGAAGAGCAGTTCCAGGGGCTTCAGCAGAGCTTCATGGAGAAGTACTACCTGGAGTTTGACGACTCGGAGGAAAACAAGCTCAGCTATACGACCATATTCAATGAATATGTAAGCACCTGCTATTTATGTATTCATACATAAATATGTAGACATATATAATGAGGCATTATTTAATGTGCACGCTACTCGTAACCCTTTACATGTACAAATGCATACTTGTGTGCCATTTATGTGAATCCCTGTCTGTAATCTTTAATTAAGCAAATGCTTATGCAGTGTGACAGATCTTTGCTCTTGCATGCATGCATACACACGTACAAGTAAACACTGCAACATGCAAACATCCTCCTACTTCCATCTGTCTACACAGTTCATGGCTGTACTTTGCTAGGCTAATCCGTTTGACGCCACCTTCTTTCCCTCTGTCAGATCGAGCTCCTGGAGAAACACATAGAAAAGGAGCTGATGGCGAGGATCCCTGGTTTCTGCATGAATGCCTTCACGGATTCACTCAAGTGAGTCTCAGTGGTGATTCCTGTGTCTTTGTAAGAACTCCTTCGGTCCAAGACATCTGATTGGTTGGTCCTGCCTCCTCTAGTTGCTCGGACCCACCTCCTCTACAATCTGATTGGTTATCTCTCTAAACCAATTATTTTTCCTTTTTGTGGAAAACTCCCTCCTTCCTACCCTCCTGTCGTCTTCTCTACTGTCCCACATCCCAGCTCTTTTAGTACACTCTGAGTATATGTGATTGCATTACTGTAAGTTACAGCCAAGTTCCCTTACAGGTGTTCTGTCTCTCTCTCTCACGCTGACTCTCTCTCTCTCTCTCTCTCTCTCTCTCTATATATATATATA